AAATGTGTGTTTTGCACTTTCTATTCTTTGCTGAAAATACGCTTTTTTTCAACAACTTTTTTCACAAAACAAGGATCATGATATTTGTAAAACAATGAACGAAAAACCCCTGGATGGGTTTTCGTTGTTCTTAAACTGTTATGATGTGCGCAATTATTTTCAAAGTCTCCGCTGTGGGTATATATAAATATATATATATATATATATATCTAGTTAAGTCTAAAATTTTCAAAAGTACGATTAACAAACAGCAGGTAACTACATGTTACACTTGCATCTGAAAGGAATTAAAAACCGAGGTGGTAGAACAAGCAAATCTGCTGTTGACGTTTCAGATTTTTTTCTTTTTTTGCTTGTTATTACAACGGAAGCTGCGGTCAGTTTCCTGAGTTGTTTGAAAAACGAATTGATAAAAAATTCAAATCTCGTTCGTAAATGGCAGTTTGTATGTCCAATTAATGACAGCAGTGTGAGTTAAAAGTTGTTAAAAATAGTTCTGCGAAAGTTTCAAGATTGAAAGGATGATCTATTTTTGAATCGGATTTTGATATTCGGCGGATGCCATGAAATATGATCACATTTTTATTACTTGGGCTCTACAAAAGAAATCAAACTGAACATTTCCAAATTGTCATAAAAAGAAGTTCAATAAAACGCTCTTTTGTTTCTCACAAATACTTAATTTCCTTAAACTCCCATGTTATTAAAAATTTTGGCCTGGAAGTTTATTACTTTAACCTATATTACTGTAAACTCACACGTATTTTAATGCTGAAAAACATTTGAGTTATTTTTACGGCTTTGCATAGACTATTTAGATAGGCCAATATCAAAATAACGATGTTTTTAACAAAGGATTTTGTAGATTTTAGCTTCGGGCCTACTAAGATAATTTTTGATTTAATCAAAATTAACATATTTCCAAAATAAATGCGCTGTAATTAAGTAAGTAAACTTGCTCTGTTTACGAAGAAGAGTGTTTTTTTTAATCTGATCCCTTTCTTTACAAAAAGAGTAATTATTTCGCTAGACCAGAATGGGTGGATTCTGGTGTGCGTCATGGCTTTACATGATTTGTTGTCGTTGCTCTACGAAAGCCAATCAAAAACCAGAAGAGTACACGGAACATGAACTCTTATCGATAATATAATAACTGAATTTTGGTTATCAAATATCACCAAAGGTAGGCCTATGTACAGTCAATACAGGATTAATTGTATTAGGCAGCGAAACGAATCAACTTCATCGGAGTTTGACATTTCATGGAGAGAAGAGTCGACAAATTGTGCTACAAGATGTTAATTATACAACAAAGACTGTTTTGAAAGCTGCTTTAGATGATAAGTGTATTTTAAGATTTTATTCAAATTCATAGAGCGGAAAAGTGACTTCCACTTTGATCCCAATCATGAGGTTCCTTGGAGGAATTAGTTTGGCACTTGATGTAAAGGAAACAAAACAGCCCCATGAACAGCGCACGAAAACACGTCTGTAAGGCGTGATAAGAAGGCTTCTGTTTCCGAAATTAGGATGATCCAGAAAGAGGTGATGCGATAAACCATCTTCTTGACTTCAATTTCCTCCTCATCTACAGAAACAGTTATTTCAGAATTTGACCAGTTAACCTTCACAAAAACAGGGCAAAAGGTACTTATACCACTTCTTTATAAAATGACTGGGACTTTTTGACCGAACATTAACAATGTTAGTCTTGTTTTAAAGTTGATTCAGATATCACGACTACTGAGATAAATTGATAAGTTCAAGTGCTCCCTTAGGGTGTAACGTTTCAGGAAAATTTCACTCCTTGTTTATTTTTCATCAGCAAAAGAATAGCCTGTAAGGTATTGACATAAAGGGCTCTAAAGGATGTTATAATGACATAAAATGGACCCCTTTATCTTAATTCTAACGTAGATAAACATGTGACCCTTTTTAAAAACTGCGCGCTTCCTAAGCAAAGTCAGTACCTACCAACGGAAAACGGCGGAACATCTAACGAAAACCCTTAATCAATCAAGTAAGTAAAACTCTTGGTTTATTTTCTTGCTCTCTCCTTAGATGTTCCCCTCACTTCAATCAGATTTCTGCGGAGTGCAAAACAGATATAGCAATATTTCTTAAATTGCAAACGGCGGTAGAAACTGATCAAAAAAGTTCAATTTTAGGAGAAAATTTTAATAATGACTTTTTTTCTGAAATACAATCCCATTTTTATTTTGGTAATTCTTGAAAAAGGGTAATTTCCTATCAAAAAGAGAGAAAGAAAAAGTCTCTAGAAAGGTCGTTCGGTAGGGAAATGATCAAAACTCGTGGTATTCAAAGAAATCAGCATTTGATGTCCCACTCAATTTCGTATATTTGCCAAGCGCTCGTATATCGTAGCTGTCGATTACAGGTATGATTGTTTGATTCCGAAAGAGATTTTAAAACTGATGAGACTGCTAGGGCTTTTTTTTTTATCATCGAACAGTCACAGTGGGCTTTCTCTTCGTGTAATGCAATAAACTTGAATACGCAAATGACTGTACTTAAAGTTTGTTCGTTCGATGATCTTATCGACGCGACAATTCTTCTTAGGCTGGCCGCTGTCAATTAAGCGCCGAGTAAAGGGCACTGTTAATTAAGTTTACGAGGAAACTGAACACACGGCGAAAATTCATTATGCGTTTCTTGGAAAAATGACACCGTAAAAACACCCTTGGTCGTCTAAATTTATTTGCACACTAAATATAGCGACATCCTTTAACCTTTTTTTTGTTATTTATGCAAGGAAGTATGCCAATGACTGGCGCCAAACAACAGGAAGAATCAGCCTTTTTTCAATTTTCCACTCACCAAAAGCCTTAAGGCTATACAAATTAACCTGCCGTAGTTGCTTAAGAATTTAATTTCCTGTTGGTATGAATGAAGATTGCTTTATATTTCCCCCATTACTTCAATGCATAAACTAAAATACAGCTCTAGTAGAAGCAGTGCAGTGCGAGACCCACTCTATACTTTTGATTCACGATTAAAAGTTCATTGACACGGTTGTGTCGCCCGGTAAAAAAAATCAAAACTGATTTCATCAGAGAGGTGGATCAAATGCACACATATGAAAACGAAGGTAATTTTGTTCCTACGGTATGAATTAAAATACCGCTTGACTAACGGCTGTACAAATCCATTTGACTATCGAAAAAGAGCCTATTGCTTCAAAGTTTGCATTGGAAAGTGGAAATATTTCGCCGTAACCCAATTACCAGAGGCTGGCTGCTATAGGCGTTACAAAACCAACCACGGTGAAGTATGTTCATATCTTATTGAAATCACTGCGAGGCGTTATGTGGCCTTATCAGTCACCAAGTTAGCGATAGCACTGTTCCGGGCTTATGTACTGCGAAGGTAATCGAAGACCATTAGCCACCAAATGATTTGTACGTGATAATTTTTTTTTCAGTCAGGTAGGGTGGGGTTGTCTGGAAACTTTCGATTTATCAAAATATAAATCTAGCTACGTGTTAGGTATAGATTGACACAGGACACTTTCTTTGGACGTTGACAGAATTTGGTATTTTTGTCAGAGTTCAGTTGCTAAAAATATCCAAATTTTCAAGATGTCTCGTGGAAAGCAAGGAAGAATTTTATATTTCCGTTTGTTAATGGCTTTTTCATTACAATTCATAAGCACCAGTCTAGAGTTTCTGTGGTAAAATGACATTCCAGGTTGAAATTTAACGTCGAACTTCCTTTTGGTTAAAAAATAGATAAGATTGCCTTCGAGCTTAAAATTGCTCTATTTCCTCATTCGATGGGCTCCCAATGAAACAGGAAACCGACAGCAACATGATCTTCTGTTTAGACTAAGTTTAAATATATGTGCATTAACTATCTACATTTTCCTGGATCAACAATCACTTTTTGAGGTCTTCTCTGAAGGCGTACCCTGTGTTATCGCTTCCTTTTCAGTGTTAAGCTCTCGCTGCTGAGTTTAGCTGTCATTGGTAAGCTTAGTTAGTTTTTGCTAGGAAATTTACTTTTTCGAAGCATTTTTACCAATACCCTAGATACTCAGAGCCTTAATTCATAAGCAACCGAACCGCAAAGCCTTTTACAGCCTCATCTTCATAGTGTTAAAGAAAACCTTGCGAGCTATAATTCCCATATTTCACTGTCTTTAAAAGAAAAAGACATAATAATTTTAGTTTGTTTCCTTATCATCACCAACCTTAATTGTTTCAAGAAAACTTTGCCTTTAACCTCAGCTTTCTAATCTTAGTTCTTTTTCTTTTATCTCACAAATCTTTGATGAGATAATTTTCTTCGAATACGATTCAGGTAGGTAGCTCAATAGGGAAACAAGAAATTAAAGTGTTCGTAGTTTAGACAATCAGTTAAAGGTCTGACGAATCTGATCTCATGCCGTCACTGAAAGAAGATTTCAAGACACTATGCGTGCCAGAGTTTCCATCTAACGAACACACGTAAAGGTTTCTGATGCCTTTCAGATATTTCGTCGATTTTTCAGCCCTTATTGATAGGGCTACTTCTCTACCACCAAACACACTTGAGTTTGCGTCTGGAATGTTTCCGGAAACTTACTCAGACTTCACGAAGTTAAGACGAGCTTTCACATACATTGCTCTGTCACTTCATGGGATGTTCCGGACATTTTTCGCAGATTTTTCGGTGTTTTTCCGACGAAATGTCAATCAATGTACCTACCTGAAATTCAGATGACATATTTGTCAAAGCATTCGACACGTAATACCAAGGTTTACACTGAATTCACTCATCGAAAATGCACTCAAATAACTGCTGAGACTCCTCTTTTTTCGATGTTCGCGACTCATAAATTTTGAATGTTTTCTTGTAAGGTCGAGTCCGTTAGAGAAACTCGGACTTTTTTCTCTCGCGCATGAAACCGTGAAACAATACCAAAAGCTTGTTTCTTCATTAGAAGACCGAGCAAAAAATCTACAATCTTTCTTATTTCATATGCTTTTATTTACATATCTTATTAACCAAGCGCGAGGGCCGTACTGGGAGAATATCGGCCCGAGGTCTTGACAGTACGGACCGAGCGCAGCGAGGTCCGTACAAAAAAGACCGAGGGCCGATATTCTTCCAGTACGGTCCCGAGCAAGCTTGGTTAATAAGAGATTTATTATACGACTGAAGTTCAAAGGGACACAAGTGCGGTATCATTCGGGACAGTGCCCGGTCCAATACTGAGAGAATATTGACCGGCAATAGAGCATTTTGATTGGTTGATTTTAGTTATTGGCCCTCTGACTGCCCGAGTCGTGTAATAAATATTCGTATCATCTTCTTTTCAGCAACGTACAAGTCAGACAGGATGAGGAATATTATAGCTCTACTGGTACTTTTAGTAACTATTACTGCGGCTAAGTTTCTTGACGATGGAATACCGGTTAGTATCTTGCAACTGGCTATCGCATGTCACCATTAACGCATTGCGTTGACATGTGCAAGTTACACATACAACACCGTAGCCTTCTCCCAGACTCGTGCTGAGGATTGCGCTTATGCGATAAGCCAAGAGTAAGTCTGTGAAGGAGATCAGCGGGTAATCTCATTCCCAGAAATCTCTTTGAGATTCGTAACTCGCCCATGCGCTAGAGTTGCATTCTTTCTATTGCCTTTCAAGCTATAAACTGATAAACAACTGAGAAATAATGGGCTAAAGAAGGGCTTTGAGATTCGTCAGAGAAAGATACGTATGAAAGAAATATATGGTGATTGCTTTCAGGTTGGTTTGCCATTTTTTGCCTTTTCATGTTTTCGTTCTTAAGATTGACAACTGCACAGACCCAGTGAAGTGAATTAGGATTTTTTTGTTTTGTTTTAGTGCTTGGGTAAGTCTTGTTGGTTGGACAGCGATTGCCCACAGTGTTCTCAAACTAAAGTCATCTGCAATTATAGAACTGACACGTGTCAAGAGGAGACATTTTGGGATAAGTGGATAAGAAGAAAGCCGGTGAGTTGAGCTACCTTCCTTGACGGGCGCCATTCAAGTTGAGTTGAGCTTCCTTCCTTGACGGGCGCCATTCAAGTACAGCACTGTTTATAGCTTACAATTTAATGCTTTCAGGGGGGCGCAGGAGGAGGCTCTTGACCGCAACCTTCCGTTGAAGAGTTTTTTTAGAGATAATCTCTTAAAAGGAAGTGTTTTGCCGAGACTACCTCATGAGGGCTACTTTTGATCTGTTGTTCTGAGTGAAAGCGCTACAATGGCCGACAGTGTAAAGATTCCGGTTTGGTCGATAAAAGCGACTTCCGCGAAAAAGGAGGAAATTTACACTCCAGGCGTCTGTGAAACAGTCGCCTCTCTTTAGTCGAGACAGACAAATAAACGCACAGAAACTGAAAATCCACCCCGCCATTTTACTTAGTGGTATTTGGCAGTGAGTGTTGACGTCTCAAGGTATTCTTTAAAACAATCCAGAGCTAGCTGTGAAAGCGCTTCTTAACGTTCCATCGTTGTATCTATTACCATGGGGACTTTTTCGATGGGGAGATGTGGGGGGTTTTGGAACAAAGAGGAATGAAAATAAGTCGAACATTGAGCTAGCACTTCAATTTTGTTACTCTAGGCTAATCAGAGTTAACTTTATTTTTCTGTTAGTGCCCCCGATATTTCAAGAGATCGTGTAAAGATACAGCTGACTGCAATTGTGGTGGAAAACTGATCTGCGAGGATAATGAATGTGTTGTAGACAGGATGACTGAAGAAATTAGAGCACGAAGACATTAACCAACGCTTTGGTACCGATCACAAGAAGTTAATATCACACTTTCCTAAAACTAGTAACAGATACATCACTATTTAACATGAGATAAGACGATGTGAATTTCTTGGGTAACTCAATTGCGAGTTCTTAAATAAAAGAATATAAGTTACTGATTCTGACCTTATTGATGTCGGTTTTTTTCAACGCTATAACTGTAATCACTGTCTAATGTCTGCCTCCCGATCACCAGTTGCCGTTTCGCCGGCGATAAATCGAAAAACATACTGCTGACACTCAGTCACGGTCGATTCACGATTCCGTACAGTCAACTTTAATCTTCAACCTTAATTGAAGTCATTTACGAGGATCCCATCGCTAGAATCTATTTAGCTATATTATAAATTAACCTCAAATTACGTTTCGACTAATTTCAGTTACTCAATCACGCTTAATTCTCATTTCGTACGGCAAAAAAAAAAAAAAATATGTGGCTTGTTGCTATATGATTTTGAAATGCCATGAAAAAATTAAAAATTATTTTCATCTCTTCGTCTCGCTCTCTCTTTTTGTTCTGTTTTTCGTATTTTTTTTTAATTGGGAAAAATTTGTCCTAATAGAAAAGTAGTTCTTCCATTCAATAAGATCTAAATACCGACCATATGGTTCTACTCCGTGAGCAAATATATCAACGTAAATCATTGTTTTCGGGAGGATGTAAGATAGGCTTTACGTGTGCTGTTTTCAATACACGAGGGGCGTTTTCAGTTCCAATTTCTTTTCGGGCTTAAAAGATTAATTAAAACAAAATAAAGACACGACTTTTGTAGTCTTTTGTATGGGGCACCAACGGAGAGGATATTGATTTTCCACCGTGTGCGACCTCCCGCTATGTGCTAATAGCCACTTTCTTCTTAAAACCAAATTTTGCCTTTCAAAGGTTATTTCACGTTAAACTTAATCAGTTTATGGGTGAAAAAAAAAAAAAAAAACTAATTTTTTCAATTATGTTCTCAAAACTTTACCCTCGTTTTGTCAAAATAGTTTTGATTTCGCACTGTATTTTATATCAAATCATTTGCTGAGTGATAGGTCTTCAACTTGTAAAACAAAGTTCTGCTAGTTACTTTATCCAGTATGCAAACTATTACCTTGACGTTCCAGAAATCGACCGTCAACAAGTCAGTGATACGATTCACTGTTTGCAAGAATGCATGAATAATGAACGATGTTTCTCAACCAACTTGGCGGAGAATCCTGACAAGAACGGGCGTTTCACATGCCAACTCTTGCCTACGAACAAGAACAGCGCTTCTTTTTCTTTCAAGCGGGAAAAGTTCTCTTACTATGTTAGCTCTGTAGTAAGACACGTTAAGTTTAAAACAACATTGAGGATCTAATATTTGTTACCACTGTTCAGTCAACTTTTTAATTTTTTTTTTTGAGCAAAATTTAGCACCTTATCTCTTATTTCTACATACCATTTTCACATCAAGATAAATATCTCGCCTGGAGAATTCTCCCTCTCGGCTGGAGCTTGTGATCGCAGTTGATTGAGTACAAGCAATCAAAACTAGGCAGAGGACATTAGCCTTCCCAAACACAATAAGACGAAAAATCCCGGCCATTTAGCGAAATTTTTAGTTACCCTGAACGCCTTATTGAGTTTTATTACACGACTCGGGCGGTCAGAGGGCCAATAACTAAAATCAACCAATCAAAATGCTCTATTGCCGGTCCAATATTCTCTAAGTATTGGACCGGGCACTGTCCCGAATGGTCCCTTATGTGGGGCTAGATCTGATAGGAAAGTTAGGGTTTCACATTGCGACATTTCCTAATCACAGGCCAGTATCGGCGTGACGTTTTAATTTCATTTTTTGGATCAAAACTTTTCATTGAATGGTTATGGTAATCAGTTCTGTGATTGGTGGATTCAGCTGGATGAACTTTGTCCTACTAGTTGTCAGAACTGTCCGATTTTATCACAGCCAACCGTTCGATTTTACTGACGGTCTGATTACAACTCTACAGAATGATTAGTGAAAAATAAGGCTGCTAAAGCATCAATCAAATCTGAGGAAATTGTAATGATTATCTTATGATAAGTCTAGCAATCAGTTTGCTGCCAAAACACCCGCTAGATCTGATAGGAAAGTTAGGGTTTCACATTGCGACATTTCCTAATCACAGGCCAGTATTGGCGTGACGTTTTAATTTCATTTTTTGGATCAAAACTTTTCATTGAATGGTAGTTTTATCAGAAAGCAATCTTTCTACACAACACATAGGACAACAGTGTTACGGCCTTTAAATGTATCTGTAGATTCAAACTTCCTCTTTGTTTAGTGCAACTCATTTAAATCTCTTTTTATGATTTTTAGAACTCCTACCATTCCTCAGCTAGCCACCGAATAAATAAGAAAGAACTCAAATTACCAGTGTTGCCGTTGTATAAACAACGCAACTCAATTAAGATATTCTTGGTTGCAGACCTTAACGCACAAAGAGAGAAACTCAGGAGGTAAAACTCCGGTTAGGTAAAACGAATTTTCACATTCACAGGTTACGAATATTCATTATTACTTTAAACAATAAACGCAACTTTCCTGGAACGCCTCCCAAGACCAGTAAGATTCTCCGATAAGATTACTGAACATCTCACAGAAAAGACAATCAATAACATGGCACTGATCAACGAATCTGAAGAAGATTGCATTTCATACACGGACAAAGATAAATTTTTTAATTTACTGTCCCTTTCTCGCTGTGATTCATTTTATCATCATCATCATCATCATCATCATCATCAATTCTACACAAGATTGCTCCACCATTAATGTCAACAGACATTATCGCTATGGCATTTCTCCCTTAGTCTGAGGAAACTTTGCCTGATCCACAAAAAAAGGTAGTTAGTTACCTCTCTCTTTCACTCTTTGTTAACCGAGCCTTGTGGCTTTACTATTGTATTGTATTTACGGATATTTATACAGGGGTAGCCCAGTTTAGCAAATTGCTAGTTTAAATGGGGCCCCGTGAAACGATAACACCCACCCATCCCACTCCAGGGGAGGGCATCCATCACACAGTAATCTCGTGCGTGGGAAATTAACGTCTCCTACCTCTAACCCTGCAGGAGACGGGGCCTACGGTTTATTTGTCCTTATCCGAGATGACCAGATTATCTATCCATTTCTTGATATTATAGAAAGGTAGCAAATTCTCCTCAGTTATTTTAAGACCATGAGTACTGGTCCGGCCGG